GGCAGCACAGAGGGAGGCAGAGAGGTCCTGCAGGTCAGAAGAGGAGACAGAACCCCAGGGAACATGTGATGCTCAGATAGGATTTCAAACAATGGGGGCAGTGAGATCACCCAGGAGAGGGTGTCCCAAGAATACAAGAGAGCTGCAGACAAATCCCCGAAGAAGACTAACATCTAAGGGTCTTAAACAGCCTGCCAAAAATGGTCAAAGTGAATGAGAAACGTGTGGACAGGAAAAGGCGGCCGGCAGTAGGATGGAGTTGAAAGGACACTGAAGGGTAATTTTTACCCTCCATCTATTTTACACAGAGATGGGGAAGGCAGCAGCAGTCACCCCACAAATATATATTAACAGTCACTTGTTCAACCTGGTAAACAGGGTTCAGAGAACTAGGTGTTGCTCTCCTTAGACTGAAGGGCCACATTTTCCTTCCCGAATACCAGCACTGCTACTAATTACACAGTACACTATATAATCTTACACTTATCTTTATAATGTGACATAATTTATAGAAATTTACAGTTTTGGAAATGTCACCATGAAAAGAGACTAAACGCACAAACATATCAAATGAACACTGCATGTAAGCAGTCACCTTGAAAATCTATCTACTTAACTTTACCATATACCATTATGCAAAACATTTTAGAATTTCTTTGCAAAAAATTACTGAGCAATAGCATGGACTTTAATTTTTGGAAACAGCTAAGTCAATCAGAGTTAAGTCTAATGAAATATGCACATACACACACACACAGACAATAGTTTCTTGCGACAAAAACAAGATATGGCTGGTAGAATATACAGGAAAATTATGTTATAAAATATCCTGTATTATATAACCTAATTAAAATTTATACGGAATCATTTTTATTATATTCTGTATGTCTTTGTTTTTATTTTTAAGGTAAGCATTGCTCTTAAAATCAGAAAGCTACTATCATTGGGGGGAGAAAAAGAATGTTTACAAAAATTGCCCTAGAAATTTGCTCCTTAGGCAATTCCAAAAAGACCTTTTAAGAACAATTTGTGCAACAGATGCTTTCCTGAAATAAATATAGAGCTTCTCAGGGCAACATCAATACATTAATACTCATTTAAGTTCTCAAATAGGGGTACATTAGTGAGGTTAATACTCATTTAAGTTCTCAAATAGGGGTACATTAATGAGGTTAATACTCATTTACGTTCTCATATATCTATTTAANTGCTGTGGTGTTTGTTATAGCAGCCCTAGGAAACTAATACAATGGCCAAAACACTGGGAATCTGGTGGAGGTGGTAAGAGGCAAGGCTGTGACATGGGCAGGGGCTAAATACAAAGGACCATGCATTCCATGCTGAGGAAATTAGGTATTACCTGACAATGAGAAAGGCACTGAAGAATTAATCAGGGGAGAACTTGGATGTGTGTTTTAGAAAAATCCCTCTAAAAGGAGGTATGAAAGGCAAGACCAGAGAATCTGAAGGCCAGAAGGAAGCTATTATAAGCAAAAAGGGATTGAGGTATGAATTAAGGTGAGGGATAAAATTTCAGAAACATTTGAGAGGAGACCCAACAGAACTAGCTGGTGGACTGATTGTGAGAGGGACAAGTCCAGAGTAACTCCAGGATGGGTAGAAAGAGGTGCCATTGGCCTATGTAGGGAGACATGGAAGGGGCAGCTTTAGGGGAAAGGATGATAAGGCCAGCTCTGGACATGGTGGACTCAAGATGCCTGTGACTTTTACAACCTTGGCAGCACAGAGGGAGGCAGAGAGGTCCTGCAGGTCAGAAGAGGAGACAGAACCCCAGGGA